CATACAAAAAGGGGGTCGGAAAGGTTTGTTTCAAGGGAAAAAAGAAAGAGAATCAAAATAAAAAGAAAGATAGTGGGGTGGGGGTTCGGGGAGGCGGGTGTGTGACGCCCAACCTCACGCCCGACGCGACTTCCTGATCGGAGTGGGATATGGGCCTGGAAGTGCGAAAAGAGGTGTGCCAAGGATTTTTGGGAAAGTGGGGGTGGAGCCCCATGTCAGAACTGAGATCTCCTGTGGCAGGGTTCTAGGGGCATGGGTGCAATAAGGCTAAGGGCAAGTTCCTTCCGGTCTGTTGGCGTTGATGTCGGGCAGCATAAGGCAGATGGCATGCGCGGTGCATTCAGGGCCGTCCGGTTCGTCTGTTTTGGAGGCGGCGGTTCGAGGAGGGGTCTGCCAGGGATGGCTGAGGTGCTGATGAGTCGGGCCTTTGGGGGCCGCCACGTGGCGTCTCTCGTCGCGCGTTTGGGTTAGGCCTCCTGTTTTCAGGGGCTCGCCAGTTGCCACGTTGCCGATAGTTTCCGCAGGGCGTGCGGGGCCAGTACTCGGCAATGGAATTCCACGGGACAACTGTGAGCTGGTGGTACGGGAGAAGGAGGCGGAAGGGAGGGAAGTTGGTGGCGATAACGACGAAGCCGGGGGATATGAAGTAGTGCGAGTTATCTGAAGTGGGAAAATCAGGACACCTCGGATCGCTGGTCGTAGCACAGTGAAACTCCCTAGGGCACAATCGATTCTCGGTTAGGCAGGGGAATTTCGGGCATCTTTGTCTGAGGCACTCTCTCACCCAAGGGTCAAAATACTCCGGATCCCACGACAAATCTGAGTCCCTCGAGAACGTCATCATGTCATCGCGGTATGATGGAATTCTCCCGTACGCGATCTAACCGGCAAGGGGGATTTTCCGATGTGATATGGGAATTCCCTTCCGTTTGGGTGCGTAGGGGAAGAATTCTCCCCGCCTACCCGATATACGACGATCGCGATGTAGGCTGTGCGAACGGGATCGCATTTACATGTGTTCACACGGGATGGTTGCTTTGTTGCATCTGCAGAATGGCCACCAAACACATCCAATCAGTCAATATCCCCGCAATCGTCAATCGTTTCATGCGTGAGGAAGGTTGCGAATCGACGCGCGAGAACACGTGTAGGCGCAGATCAAATCGCGCCTATACGCCTTCCCGCGAGATATTCGCCAATGTCGAGGTCGACAACTACCCAATCATCTAATCACTCCGTGATCCCATACGCAACCGCTCCTGAGCATGCAAGATGCAGTAAAAACAGCAAGGGAAACAATATGGGTGACTACGCAAAAATTCCTACTATGTTTATGAGTGTATCACAATGACAAGCAAAACGACAAGCAAAGGCAAGGATCAGGCAAAAGAAAAGCAAACAGACACGACATTCATTCATCCATTCATTCGACCGAACACACAGCAAACAAAATCGAGATCAATCGCAAACGAGTGCGGGCGAAAAACCAAACCAAGATTCCGAAAACAAAAACGGGCGAATCGCCCTGAACCGAGATCAAAATTTATGTACAAAGGCAAAGAGGGAGAAAAGACAAAGAAATCTGCAAATGCACGTCCATCAACCTCAGCTCCCTCTTCCTCTCTCTCTCTCTCTCTCCGATGCGGACAGTCCGTCGTCGCGCACCCACCCACTAAGTCATCACCCCGCTTAGTCCTCCCACACCCGTCAGGTTCGCCCGCGCCCACAGTCCGTCGTGGCCCGCATGAACCCGGCGCGTTTGGCACCAGCTCGTCGGGTCACCCGACTCCCACTTCAACTCACCTCTTACTTCGCTCGTGAGCCGACCCTCACTGATCGCGCTACCCCGAGCTTCCAATAGGTGGTTAAGAGAGCTATCTAATCGCGCAGCCGGAATTTATAGCGTGCATGCATGCGCGAAGAACACGGAATTGCAAGGACTTAGAAAGGAGATCAGGAGAGGGACAACCTACGTTCTGCATGGCCAGATCGCGGCGTGGGGGACGTAGCCTCTCTCCACGCACCAATCCGAGCATGCAGTCCGTGGGCGGGCTAGACTCAGCAAGAAGAAAAGGCGAGAGCGGGAAAGACGAAGTTCAAAAAGAAAGATGCAGTTACAAGGGCGCCCGCCCAAAATTACAGTTACACACACGATTAAGGGCGCCGACTAATCAGAGTTCCGTTGCAGCCGCATAAAGAAGCGCGTAAGCAAAAAGCGCCGCGCGGCAAAAGAAAATCCTAATTGCAAAATTCCTAAATTCCTATCGAATGTAGAAAATGAGAAGCGCAATTTCCGAAAAGGAAGTCCGAAATTCCGAGAGCCATAGTGGCTCGACAAGATTCGAAAAAGAATTCAAAAAGAAATTTAAAAAAGATCGAAGCAAAATTTCCGCGCGGTCCCCGCGCCTAAAATCCGACAGCAGCACCGAAAGGAAGCGACGTCAACCGTTATTAATCGCGCCTGGTCGGCGCGACAGCCACTCAATCAATCATCCCGGGACTTGCCCGGCCCCAGCCATCCGAAAAGAGACGAACGAAGAAACGAGGACACTGATGCAATTTCCCTTCCATCCCAATCTCCCGTAGTTGGCCCATCCTTCCCAGCTTAGGACCCCTCATTGTTATCGCGCAGAAAATCGCGCGGAACAGAAATCGGTTCGTCACAGGTGCGGGGGTTATTGGAGGTGATGATATCATAAGGAGCAAGCAAAAAGGTGGGTGGCAAAGAGGGAAAAAAGAAAAACACACAAGGCTCAGAAATTCGAGAGATGTTGTGTTCCAACTCCCCCCCCCCCCCCCCCCCCCCCCCCC